GGGGGTGGGGCGGTGGCACCAGGAACTGTTCCCTGGAGTAGAGATCCCAGGTGGAAACCATAGGTCTTGGTGGCAGTGGGATTTGGGGGCTGCTGCTGATGACTGAGATTCTGGGAGGATGAGAGAAGGAATCACATAAATAGAAGGGCCACAGAGGGGAACATTTGGCTGGTGGGGATTGAGTTGAATGGATCATTAGAAGGAATTATGGTGCTGACTTCTATGAATGTCCTGTCAATGTGGAAAAGAGAGGCTTCAGATTAGACACAGGGGGAGAGCTTGGGCACAAGGATGCTGGCTTGGGGGTGCTTCCCAAGATTCCTATGCAGTAAATGGAGCATAAGCCCCCGCGGCCTGTGGGACACCTTTTTGTCTGCCTGGTGTGAGGCCTTTAGTCAGACCCCCTCACTCTTAATGCCAATCAGGAATGACTCACTCCGCCCAAGGGAATCCTGGGTTCTGTGGGTATTGAGCAAGGGGTAGCAGGGCCTAGAGTGTGAAAATCTCTTGACCCCTGCCTGTGGCCTCGGCCAGATAGCTTCACAGCCCTAGGAGATCTGGTTTTCTTAACTATAAACGGAGCATAACACAGACCCCTCGCAGGACTGTTCAGAGGAGGGACTCACACTGTCATTGCTGTAACTAGCACTCTACAGAAATCAGCACCTTGAAGCTGCTCAGTAGCCCAATGGTCCTAAGCCCCATTTTACATATGGGAAACTGAGGCAGACAGCAGTCAAGTGACTTTCCCAGGTCGCAGAGCTGGATCTGATTCTGAGTCTCTGTGCCATGTCACACACTCAGCCTAGTGCTTGACCAAACTTGAGGCATCCAGGCTGTGAGCTGAGGGCACCAGGGATCCCCGTGTGAAGAAATCCAAGAGGTAGACATCTTAGCTCTAATCCCCTCCAAATTGGCCCTCCAAATTTTGTGCTCACCCACGTGAGCAATTTGAGGCTGGAGTTCACCCCAACTAGATTTGACTTCCCCAAACACTCAGTTGCCCAGCCAGTGGGTCCCAGTCTGTAGCTGGTGCTCAGCTCACCCAGGAAGGAGCCCAGGGAGCGGCCTGGCAAGCAGCAGGCATTGCTCCACCCTGGCCTTTCAGCTAGAAGAAGGCTGACTGAGCCTGAAAGAGACCATTCTCTGTGACGTGCCCCGAAACTTGGGCCGGGGAGGGGGGAGGGGGGGCATGACATCAGAAGCTGCCCTGCCCCTCGAGATCAGTGTCAAGCAGAGGGCACCAGCTGCTGCCGGGAAGGATTCAGATTCAACAAGGTCTAGGCTCTTGGGACCTTGGGCAAGTTGCTTAGTCTCTCCTGAGGAGTTTCTCCATCTGTGTCACTGGGAATAGTGAAGGCACGTGTGTGGGGTGGCTGGTGTAGCCCAGCTCTGTGAACAGCGGCTCTTTGGCTGAGCAGACCCCGGTCTCTGACTCCGGGCCTGCTGGGTACCCAGCTCTGCTGGGTGCCCGCTCAGTGAAGTATCTGCTCTGTGCCTTCAAGGTAGCTGCTGGTTGCAGGATGGCCCTGTGCTCACAGTTCTGGGGTTCCAAGGCCACTCTTGGGCTAAACAAGCCCCTCATGCTGGAGACTAACAGAATGAGCTCCTTTCCACCCCCAGTTGAGTGGATTCTCACAGCAATAATAACATAGGTGTCCCTGAACCTTCTCTTCTTTGTGAGTTTGGGGTTTCAGTTGTTGCTTTTATATTGTCTCTGGAAACGACAGCGCAGCTCCCTATCTTCTGTCAGCCCACACTGGGCACTGTCACTGTGGCAGAAGAGCAGACCCCGAGGGGATGTGGTGAACAGGACAAAGCCCCTTTCTGTAGAACTGGCTTTGTGCAAAGGGGAACAGATTCACCGAAGATAGGCAGCTGAGGAGCCGATGACCAGATTCTGAGAAGCCCTTTGGCAAAGCTGTGATTGGGGCAAGGCAGGTGTTTGATTTTCTGGAAGAAGCTGTTCCTAGAAGTGACCTTGCAGGGTCAGAGACCCGAGGGCTCTCAGGCCCTGCAGACATTTGCCCTGCAGCGCTCACCCTGGGGGTCTTCTGTGGGCACCTGATATCCTGCCTGAAAAAGTTTGGTTCTCCAATTTTCTTTCCTACTGGGACACTTGAAGCTTATTCGTCTTTCGGCATGTGTGTTGGAATGTTGACCGGGCTGAATTCTCACTTTGGAGGTGTATATGAACCACCTGTCTTTCCTCTTCTGTGAATTGTGCCAGCCTTTACCTCCTGTTACCTAAGTCACAGCTGAGGCCTGGGGCGTAGGCCTTGGTTTGTCCAGAGCCATATTCAGCTTCCAGGTAACCAAGCATGGCCTTGTGGGGAAACTGCCATGAGGAAGTCTCTCCCCAAGGCTGGAAAGAACATGGGTTCACAGAAGTGTGTTGATACAGCCAGAAGCCAGAGCACTAATGCTCCTTCTTGGGGGCCTGCTGGGTGTGACTTTCCAGTTGTCACTGTGAACCTCAGTGCCGCAGAGCATGAAAACTTGTGCTCATTTTGTAGATGAGGAAACTCATGCTTTGTGCTCAATAAACAACTTGCTTAAATACACACTTACAAGTGACACCTCTGGGCTTCAAGCCAGGTCCATGGTGTGCTCCTTCGCTCAGAACTGCAGGTAAACAAGTAGAAGACACATGCACACAGGTAGGCCAAGTTGCTTGGTGAAGGCGGACTTGTGTTGGTGAAAGCAGATTGGTGGCCACTGCAGGTTCGTAAGGGCTTGGCGTAGCTTGAAGCGATGAGGGGTTAAGGGCTTGTATCCTCCTGACGAGAGAAGAGTCCTAAGAGTGGCAGACAGAAGTGACAGAAGAAGTGAGAATAACCCAAGGAGGTTTAATTGATTTGTAGATTTGTGACTAGAAACTACTAAGAAGGGGTGACAGAGGGAGGTCTAGAGGACCCAAGATTCCACCCAAAGGAGGCACAAGCAGACACCCCCCCCATGTGTCCTTTACTCCTCCATGTTTGCAGACCCTGTTTTCCCAGCCACGATCACTGAGCGCCCCTTCTTTCAGTGGCTGCTTCTTTAATTTTGTTCTCCGTCCACAGACCATGGCTCCTTGGCCTGAACTGGAAAATGCCCAGCCTAACCCCAACAAATACATGGAGGGGGCTGCTGGCCAGCCGTCCATCACACCTGCCAAAGACAAGGAAAACCACCACAGTAAGTGCCACCCTGTGGCAGCTGATGCTCTCCCCGAGGGCCAGCTCCCAGCTCTGCCCCCCGTGCCTCACGCTGACCTTCCTTTGGACAGAGGAACCCGGCGTCCCCATAACCAAGATCGAACTTCTGCCGTCTTACTCTACGGTGGCTCTGGTGGAGGAGCCCGCGGAGGAGGGAGACCCCTGGGACCTGCCTGCCCTTCAGGACAAGGGCATCAAGTGGGCAGGTAAACACGGGGGGGGGGCAGCAGAGGGACCAAGCTCGCCGCCTCATGTGACTCATGTCGCCCCAGCTCCCCAGGGTCTCCTGCCCTGGAGCAGAGGCCCTGGCGGGGTGCCCTGGGGGTTGGAGGCCTCGGGCAGACCCCGGCTGACCCTCAGACCCACGGTGACTCACCTGTCCCAGGTAGAGGCTGGGGTGTGCAGAGAGCCATGAGCTGGGCTGAGGTGTCGCCTCCCCTGCAGGCAGTCCACAGGGAAGTCTGCAGGAGCAGAATGCACCCCAGCTCAGCAGGGTGCCAGCAAGCAGTGCACTTAGTTCAGGGGCAGGTGAAAGTTCTGTGTGTGGTCAGACAGCTGGGCAGGCTGGGAGGGAGGAGGAGGAGTGAGGAGCACCTGGAGGTGAGCGGAGAAACAGGAGTCGAGGACGCGCGGTTCCAGGGGTGGCGGCCCACGCTCCCCCAGTGCAGTGGCGATGGCTGCTTGCACCCACCTTCTAGAAAGTGCTTGTGCTGCTCTGTAAGTGCTTGGCGCGCCCTTAGCTCTGCCTGCTCCTGGGGTGGCAGGGGCCGCCACGGCTCCGCGGGGTTCCAGACACTCAATGCCTCTGTGCCTTTCCCCTCCTCCAGACAGGGACACCAGAGGGAAGTTTCTCTGCGTCTTCCAAGGGGCCGGGAAATTC